TGTAATTCTGTAGGTGAGTTAACTTGTTAAAAAACAAACTTCTGATGCTATATAGTCTAAATTTTGCCTCTACCATTCCTTACCTCAGTAAACCATGTTGCTTAGGCAAAATATGTCACATTCAATCCTTCAGCAAAAGCTAGTGGTTACTCTTTCAGGCATATCCAACCTTTTGACATTGAGATACGATGTTGTCTATAGTCATGTTCAAGTACCACACAGTTGGGTTTTTAAAAATAGATAATGAAGAAATCCCATGATGTTTTAAGTAAGCTTACTACTTGGGGTTGAGCCACATTCATAGCTATCCTTGGCAATGCGGAGCCCACAGGCTGACAGACAGTGGTCTGTCTTAAGACTGTCCACATGATTTTCTCTAGTATGGCTGCTCTGGTTCAGGTCCTTGTCTTCTCTTGGGGTGCCTGGAAGGACTTTCCAATGGATTGCATGTTTTTGCCCCTCCCTTACTTAATACAGGTTTCTGTCAAAATGTAATGTCTTCTCTTTAACAAGCTCCAGTGTAAGCTGGCCCTTGACCCCCCTCTGCACACTGTTGTCTGTGAGGACCCCTGCCTCTTGTTCCCCTGGGCCAGCTTGTTCACCTTGGTCCCTGGGCCAGCTTTCCCTAGTCATCCATGGCATAGTTTGCTGCAGAGTTTTTGTTCTGTTGTTCCTCTGCCTTAGATTCCATTTCTCCTGGTCCTACATAGGCTGTCCCTTCCCTTTCTTTGGATATGTGCTCACATGGCATTTCCTCATGAAGGCCCTTTTGTTTATTATTCCTCATGCTCAAAGCAGCATCTTCCTAGAATCTCCATCTTGCTATGCTTTTCCTCCATACAGCTTAGCACTGACTGCTATTATATTTGAACTATATTTGTTATTATCTACATCCACATTCAAACGCAAGCTCCATGAGGATAGCGAAAACCAAGGCGTTGCTTCTTTGTTCACTGATGTAGTTTGAGTACTCAGAACAGTCCCTGGCTCATTTAATACACTGAATATATATGTGTGGGCTGAATGGCTGTATGAATAAGTATGTGAAAGGGCCTAATGGTGTACTCAAGTGCACAAATCACTGCTACTATCTCCATGTGCAGATTGTGTGATCTCTGCACATTTCCCTCTGCTCTGTAACCCTCTGGCTTTTGAATCTTCTCCAGTATCAATTGCCTCTTGTACCTATTCCCCAAAGTTTCCTGTTTCTTCTCTTCCACAAAAGCAGCCTTTTGAAATGAGTTTTATAGCATAGCACGGGTTCATATACTGTAGAGCAGCTTGTGTTCAGAGAGGATGATTCTTTCATGGCAATGATGGTGATAGCAGAAAATACAGAGGAAGAAATGAGAAAGTTGGGCAAATTTATTTCCAAAGTTCTGAAGCTTGAAGGTAATTGCCCTTATGAAATCATTGCAGTCTGGAAAAGTGTCAAAAGATTGTCCTTTAGATTAGGACAATCCTAATTGTCCTTTAGATTTAGGATTAGAATGCACCTAGAGTGCCGATGCCATGTCTCAGTGGGTAAAAGCACTTGCCACAAAAGCCTGTTGGCTCCAGTTTGATTCTTGGAATCCAGGGCAGCGAAAGAGAACTAGCTCCCAAGAGCTGTCCTCTAAAGGCCAAGCCTGCCCCATGGGATGTGTGTCAGAGGACATGAACACATACTCACATCGTGTCCACATGGCATTAGTAAATAAAGTCAAACCTCAGGCCCCTGGAGGCCAATGTTTCATGTCCAATTCTGAGTCCAGCATGGGTGCTACGTTTTTATTAAGACAAAATAATGACTTCAAAGATGGTAAGCAGTGTGATGAGAACTTGTAGGAATGATTGGAAAGCCGTAATCATTGCAAACACTGTGCCAGGCGTTATTACAAATTTTGTTAATAAAGTTGCTTAACCCTCATCCTTGAGGAAGATAGTATCATGTCTTCTTTGAGATGCGAAAGTAAAGACACAGCGATATTAAGTAACTCAGAGTCACACAACTGGCCACCATTAATTTCAGCGTCCTGCTCTAACCGTTGTGCTGTTCTTTTGATATACTCAGAGGTGCAACTGGAGAAAACTGAGGCTAAGGCTGAAGCTCAAAGAAGGCAGCTGTAGTTTTAACCTCAAGTGTAACATGAGGGCCGTCTTGTTGGGGTTTCTATCCCGCCTGGTACCCCACAATCAGCAAGCCCCAAAGAAAATCACACAGAGAGTCTGCATTACTTATAAACTGATTGGCCCATTAACTCAGGCTACTTATTAGCTCCTGTAGCTTATATTAACCCATTATTCTTATCTATGTTAGCCACATGGCTCGGTATCTTTCTCAGCGGGGCAGGTTACATCTTGCTTCTTGGTGGTCTGGGCAGGAATGGGAGTAATGGGCTTCCTCCTTCCTAGCATTCTCCTGTTCTCATCGCCCCGCCTCTACTTCCTGTCTGGTTGACCCGCCTATACTTCCTGCCTGGCCAGTCAGCATTTATTCAAGTCCTAGACTCACCCCTTAGTCAGTTGCCCATGTATATATATTCAAACTGCATAATAACCTTGGCGCCACTACTTTATTACACTTGTTCATATCGCTTCTATTGGCTGTTTAACTACTTTTAAGGATTGTATTTGATTCATTTTTGAGCCATTAAATTTAGTTGAAGGCATGTCATGTAATCAACATTCAGGTTTTGTTAAATAGATAAAAGAATGTCCTTCCATGTGTTTAAATCAACTGGAGCTGTCCCAATTAAGATAGGCATCAGAGATGTAGTGAGCCTCTGGTCACTACAGAGTGGTACTCAGTTCTATGTTGCATGTATTTTGTTTTGTTTGTTTTTGTTTCTTAGAGATAGGGTTGGGCAGCAAGCTGTCCAAACTGGCCTTCAACTAACTATATAGCCAAGGATGTTCTTGAACTTCTGATTCTCCTGTTTCTACCTCACACATGCTGTGATTGTAAGCTTGCACCACCATGCCTAGTTTATTCCATGCCAGATATAGAACTCAGAACTTTGGGCTGGTAAGATGGTTAAGCTAGTAAAGATTTCTCCTGAAAGCCTGCAATGCGTCTTTGGTTTCTGTGACTCATATGATGGAGGAAGGACAGAACTCAGATCCACAAGTTCTTCTCTGGTCTTCACATGCAGGTTGTGGCAATGTGTACAACTAGCATGTGAATATGCATAACAAAATAAATAAAATTAATTAAAAGAATTTCAGTAACTCAGGTCTTCCTGCCTACTAGGCAAGTACACTACCAACTGAGCTCCCTCCCCAGCCAAGGTGCATGATTAGCACACAGATTGCAGCAGTACCTGTATCATGTGAAAATGGAAGTTTTTGTTAAGTTTCCTCTAAGTGTGATTATCTACTGTGATGATGAGTTAGGTATAAGTTTTCTCCACATGTTTCCTGAGTGCTTGCTGTGTGCCTAGCACTGGAGGTACGAAGATAAGTGTGGTTAGGACAGTGTCATCAGTCACCAGCCATCAGTGTCTAAGAGAAGGCATGCTTAGCAAAATAGGTATCAATTTTTGTTAAAAAAAAAAACAACAAATAGAAGAGGACATAATTTAGTGATGTCTTGAACAGACTTGAAAGAGAAGAACCAGATAGGAAAATTGGGTCTCATGTCATGTCTTTCTGAATGTCTGAGAAGGGAAAATTCGGGGAACAAAGACCACGTGCTGTTAAATTCCCATAGAAATAGTGAATCATTTGCTATCAAGATATGTAGTAAGGCCGGATTAATTCAGTAGAGGTTAATTCAATTCTGAAGTATTTTGTAACTCTTGGAACAGCTATGCCTTCTTTTCCTTCCCAAACGCCTAAAGATGAGTGTCCTTCCCATGCCCTGCTGTGGCTCTGCAGAGGCCAGGGCATGGAGCAGAGCAGTCTATATTCCGTTGCCTGGGACAGAGATTCCAGTAGTAGGCAACTGTGGTCCTCCCCCTCTCCAGAGGACCCTGGTCCCTATGCTGCTCATCTTTCACACATGCCCAAATTTGTCTGAGAGAATCATCGTCACTAGCTGGGACATGATGCCTAGGTGGGCGGGGGATTCCCCGTGTTGTTTAAGTCTTAGTTGTCTTTGAGTTTGGCTGGCATGTTCATGATTAGTTTACTAACAATTGGTTTTTTTTTCTTCTTATGCCATATGCTATTCCATGATTCATCAGCTTTGAGTCTGTTGCCTTGAAGGTGAAACAATTTTTTCCAATGTTGATATTTCAAAATCCCATAGATAACAAGCACACACATATGCAGAGTCCTTTCAGAAGTTTCAACATTTGGAGATGAATGAATTACGCTGCTCCAAATGGAAAGGAGTGCTGTAAAATTCCAACAGTTCCATCCAACCTCCTTCTGTCAACAGCTGCTGGACCCTGGCCCTGGAAGGCCAAAGGCTTTGCTATATCTTTGTTTCTCCTTGTGAAATTATTGATGGCATCTGTTACATATGACTTTAAATTTTTTAGCAGCTCACTTAATTGCTTTATTTTATATTTCTTTTAATGTTTTTGGTTAAAAATCTTCATTTGGGGAAGTGAATTGGTCTTAAGTTCCAAATTTGCTGTTTATACTGTAGTCATGACTTTATGGATTCAGTGAGCAGCGCGATGGCTGTCCAAACCTCCAGAAAGAGGCTTTAAGTTTCTGATGGAAACATGAACCTTTCAGTGTTTGAATGCAACACTTTTCATTGTTTGAGTACACAGCAGAGCTGCTCTTTCTGCATGGACATTTCTTAAGCATTTAGAAGATCGGGTGTCTGATAAACACAGACCACACTAAATGTCTGCAGACTGCTTTTATCAGGCAGCGAGTGCACTGCAGAAGTCAGCTGCCCATCTCTCTCACAGTGCCGGTGACTGTTTTTCTGGGAAGAAAAGCTGTAATTTCATGGTTTGAATGCTTGTGAAAATATGTGAGTTGTATGATTAGAAAGATATTTTTTGAGGATTCTAATTTTCAGCATATCTTCTTCTCCCCCCACCCTTACCTGGTTTCAGCTCCTCTTTGGTTCAGGTGTGCTGGTGTCCCTAAGCCTTTCCGGGCCTCAGCTGGAGAAAGTGGTGATTGACAGAAGCCTGGTGGGGAAGCTCATCTCAGACACCATCAGTGATGGTAATTACAACCGTGTGCAAATCAATTGCCTACATTAACAGTGGGGCAGGAGACATACTTTGTCAACAGGTAGACTAATTATTACCACCGGGGACTTGCAAACACAACAAGTAATTGCTTGTAATAGCATACTTACAACCCCTGGGACCAACAGCAGGCTTCAGCTAATATTTACTGTCCGTGCACTTCTTGTTACATGTCAGGCTCTGAGTCTAAGTACTTTCCAATCTCTTCTTTACATTTTTAAATATATTTTTAAAGTCAGCTTTTCTCATTCATTAAAAACAATTTCTCTATTGACAATTCAAATTTTTCCAAATGAATTATGCATAAATAACACAAATATACCAAGGTAGGCACTGGTGAAATATCCTGAGTACTTTGCTTCCTATATGAAGCTGTGTTGTTATTTGTTAATGAATACTAGCTTCTGAGTAATGTGGAGTTATATTTCTAAACAGCACAAGTCAACTCCAGATGCAGTAGGGAAGGCCAGATCTCTTAAGGGACAGTACTGTGCATGGTTGGTATGAAGCACATCCAGAAGATTTTAAGCCATTTATTGAGTAGGAAGTTTACTAATGTTTATTGAGCCATAAAGGTTCCATGGTGGGTGCCAAGAGGACTATATTAGATATGGTTATTCTTATTCTAGTAGATAAGTAGATATCTAGAATATAAAGTGAATATGAGCTACTCGGGATAATTGTCAGTCTTAAGTAGTTAGGAAGTAGCTGAGCTGAGATCCGAACACAAGTGTGACCTACTTTCTTTCTGCTACTCTATGCTAAGTCTGGATTTTAAGATTCTGTTCCTTTATTTAGAGAGAAAAAATAAATTAAAACAGGCCAAATTATCATGAAAAATTAAAAACAGTATCTTAAATTGAATAGCAAAGGGAGATGTGGTCTAGCAGAGGCCAGAGGTGAGAGGGAAAGCCCCCTTCTGTTGTATGCACCACCACTCCGCGTCTGAGGACAGTCTGGCAGAACTGCAGTTTAAAGAAAGTTCTCTGCAGGATGGTTACCATTAGCAGCACCACCAATAACAAAGCTGGAGGTAGGACTGTGGGCATCCCACTTCCTCCACCACGGAGGGGTGTGATGCCAAGGGGCTTCTCTGTGGAGATGTTCTGGTGTGTTCTCATTAAACTCTCCATTGGCTTTCAAATAGCAATGACTATGGTGGTTTCTCAAATTTATGTTCTTCTGTTAGACTAAACAGGGGAACTTCCAACACTCTTCTGTCTGAGTTGTTTTTTTTTTCACTCATTTCTTTCATTTGTACCCAAATTGCAGACTCTGATGGGATTTGATAGCAATATGATTTCTTGGCAGCTCTCCTGAGTCTCTGGTGCTTGTGCAGACCTCTTGCTGGTCACTGCATGTGCATCCAGTGGTGGGTGGGCAAAGTGTGGACTTTAGTGACTTCTTCCTTCCTCCCTCTCTTTCTACATCCCTCTCTCCTTCTCTTTCTCGCTACATCCCTCCCACCCTGCCTCCCTTCCTTTTTTTTTTTTATTTTTGCCTCTGAGCAGTTTACATAGTAGTGGCTCTATATAGCCCATATCTACTTATATTCTTTAGAAATAAAGCTGTAGAAGTATTTTTTTGCTGATCTTCATTATTAAACATTATTTATGTAATACATGCTTGGGCATAGCATACTTTATTTCAACCAGTTTGTAAGTCCTCAAAAGAAGAATTACGGATAATTTGTTTGTATGTGGTTTTTCAAATCATGGTTTCTCTGTGTGGTCCTGGCTGTCCTGGAATTCAGTCTGTAGACCAGGCTGGCTTCAAATTTACCTGCCTCTACCTCCCTAGTTCTGGGATGAAGGGCATGTGACACCACCACTAGGCATAGATGAAAAATTAAAAAAAAAAAGAACTCCCGACAGAACACTGATCAGTATCAGTCTACTTATCCACTTATTCTCAAGTGACTTATATGAGTATATGAATGTAGAAATAGTACATAAACACAAATAAAGTCTCTTTAATCTTTTTTATGCCTTTTTTGGAGACTCTTACTATGTATCCCTGGCTGGCCTCACACTTTGCCTGTCTCTGTCTTCCAAGTGATGGAGTTAAAGGTATGTGCCACCATGCCCAGTCTCTTACCTGTTTTGAGCTCTGGGTCCCAAATACTTCCTTTGGTGGTGGTCTTCAAACATTGGGTTTCATGGAAAGAGTCACTGAAAGAGTGGAAAATACCCAAGCCATATTATTGTATTATTGGTTATTGTGCATGTCTACTATCTTTAACATCATTCAAAATGGATTTGGGAGATGTTAGCAACTTCAATTAATATTTATTTTCTGACAGTATCTTTTAATGATATTTCAGTGGAAATGTATTAACTTGTTATAACTTTGGTCTAACTTGGGATCATTAAATCCCTGTGTTAGCTCTTCTTACAGACAGTTTCATCATCTTATCATTTTTGGCACAAAACAAACTATGTTTTATTCAGTTTACAAAGAAGATGGATTCTCTTGATGTAAATAAGAGACTGGAAAAACTCTCCGCCTTGGATTATAAGGTAGAAATTTCAATGTATGTAGTCATGTAGTCATTAAGGCACACTAGAGCTTTGCATGAGTTAATGTTATGGTTTTTACTCAGGAACGTTTGTGGATTTCAGGAAACCTGAGTCTGCCTTGTACCTTTTCTGTGGTGTAGGCCTGAGGGTGGCGTATTTGAGCTTATGGAAGGCAAAGTTGGCGTTCATACTAACACTAGTGTGTATTCCATTGTCACGTTCCAGTAAGTGTCCATACAACTACTCTGGTTTCCAGTCTGAGAAAGGAGAGAAGGAGGAAGGGTCTTTCAAAGATTAATAGAAAGTATAATAAGTTGTGGGAAGACCCTCACATCCCACCCCAACGATAACTAGAGGAAATACAAAAAGAAATCTCTTTCAGTGTGTTAGTTTTTCTCCCTCTGCTAACTCCAGGTAATTTGTTTCCCCATATCATGGACTTTACATCTGTTAAGGCAAGATTTTTATTTTAAATGATGTGCTTAAATTTTCTACCTTACATTTTAACTGCTGGGAAGGCATGCTCTCTGCAAGGCTGAGCATCTAATACATTTTCCAGGCTGTTTCAGTTCAAGGCATCTTTTCAGCAATGACTTGTGTTTGCAAGATTGATCCAGCCTCTGTGACGTGGATTTGAGACAGTTCACTGTTCAGTGGGAACAGAGCTGATATACAGCTTTCTTAAAAGTGATGCACATATATGCTCTCCTCAAGTGTCTATAACAGAGGCAAAACCGGCCCTGTGGTTTGTAATTGGTGTGTGTGCTTAGAAGCTGTTTTTTGTACCTAACTTTCTGCACTTTAAAATTGTTATTTATGATGATTGGCGTAATAATGGCATAAGAAAGATATAATTTGTTTAAAAGAAGCATCTATTCTTATGAGAGTTTAACAAAGATATAATTTGTTTAAAAGAAACATCTATTCTTATGAGAGTTTAACAAAGATATAATTTGTTTAAAAGAAACATCTATTTTTATAAGACAGAGTTTGACTTACTTTTTAACATAGAAAAAGCTACCTGAAATCAGTTTTTCATTGTGATAATAAAATATGATCTGGCTCGTATGCCAGATTTGTAGAGCTTCTATAAAATTTGCATGATAATGATTTTCTGTACTTGGCAATTTTTGATATTCATGTATTATATTTAGTCAGTCAAAAAATAAAAGTTTCCCTTTGATGTTATTACAGCATTGCTTTCGCCCAAAGTGGTTAAACTAGATTGATTTTAAAATGTTTTTTCTAATGTTGCCATTTACAGTGTTAGTAACATTACTATGTAAAATCCTGTGTGATAGCTCCTGCTGTTTCAGGTGTCATGGGTAACTGAGTGATGTCTTCTGGACTAAAAGATGGTAGCTAATGAGAGCTAAAGAAAACTGCAAGGGTGTCGGCAGCATAAGAAAAAATACAAAAAATAGGCCTACTCTTTGACCTTATATTGCCTCAATAGGGGAATTAGCACATTATTTCTACCTTTGGACTTGGGAGACTTTTGGCACTTCACATCATTGCTACACAATAGAGGAATATGTTCCCTTCTGGAAAGACCATGGATTTCATTTCTTAATGCAATGTTTGAAAATGGTGAATGCCACCATTTACCAACTGGAAGGATAGTTTCAGAAACTTATCCATGTTCCCTGCTCTTTTGAGCGTCAGTGCAGAACACCGATCTCATTAAAATCTACAGGAAATGTAAAATCTCAAACAACAACTGCTCTGCATTGTGCGAAAACTGAATCTGCCAATCACTTCTTTTTAACTTACTTTATTATTTAGAAATTTATAGTATGCGTACATGGCAAGCAGGATACCTGAATATAATGTACATGTGTCTTTAAATATTTAGTGATTATAGTATTTCTCTCAAATAAGAAGGAAGTTATAATAATTTCATAAAAACTTAACTATAAGTATTTCTACTTAAAATATAAATGCATCTGTGTTTTCCCATTGTCCATTTGAATTTTAGAACAAGGACTTACATTGAGTATTTATAGTTCTGGTTTTCTGTCCAGTTATGCCATAATTTAATTATTTCACACTGAAATAATTTTGACCAGAAGAATTTCAGGGTAAATATCCTGGAAGTGTTGACCTTTAACAAGCTTTTCTGTCCACATTTTAAAAATCCAATTCAGTTTAACAGTTGAGGGACAGCGCAAGGAGTTAAATGTTTACTATGAGAGAACAACACTGGTAATTACTTTGATTTTAGTTCCTTTTGATGTGTATTCAGAGGATGAAGAGGTCAATAATATTATGGCCATGCAAATAGAAAAGAGTTCCTTTTGACCACGTTGGAAAAAAAATAGCAGAGGATTATTAAAGCATTAACCTTGATTTTAATGGCCTTGGTTGAGTGGTGAGATCACAATTTGGATGAGCCTGATTATTTACTAAATACAATACATAAATGCAACGGGTTCTTAACACCCATTGCACTCTGGCATTATCGCATTACTGCCATCCTTTGTTGCCTTGCAGACAGGAATATGAAAGCAATCTGTCATGTAGTGAGACTGGCTCCAGAAGCATTTCTCTGATAAGAAGACCCCCTGCCCTTTGCTAGTGTCTGGTCCAGTAGGCTTAGCCATGCGCTTAATCCCCAGAAAGTGGTTCGATTATTGCTGACCAGCAATGGCAAGATAGTTTTTTTTCCTTCCAAGCTATCAACCTTCCATTAATTCCTTAAGCAGAAATACGGTGCAATCTATATTTCCTTGGCATGTGTCACCCAGATGGTGCCGTGCTTATGTTTTCAAATAACCATGTTCCAAAATAACATAGTTTGAATAATAAATTCGGCAAATCCTTCCTAAGAAAGAGAAGTGTAATTCTCAGAAGCTGCATAAACTTTCTCGTATGATGCCGTGGCTTATCCCTTTTATGCAGAATATGTGTGTATATGTCTAATATATTCTTTGAAGAGATATTTGCCTCAAGTTGTTTTTCCCTTTTATTGTTGTCAGCCATTGTTACCGCGTTATGTCTTGGACAGTAGCGAGCCAGTCTTGGTCAGCAGCTCCGCACCTGTCATTTAATATAGCTGGTCCTGAACCCTGTGTGTAGGTCGGTGCAGCTCCGCACCTGTCATTTAATATAGCTGGTCCTGAACCCTGTGTGTAGGTCGGTGCAGCTCCGCACCTGTCATTTAATATGGCTGGTCCTGAACCCTGTGTGTAGGTCGGTGTTGTCCAGCAACCATGGCTGCACAGTTTGTATTGATTGGAATTGTTACATCTGGTGCATCCCTAACTCACATTTCTTTTTTTCCTTTCCTCTGCTAAAAATTGGGAAAATTTTGAACATATGTCTTTTTTTTTATATATGTGTCAATGGAATTTGGTAAATCCTGACACCCTCATAAGCACATGTGGAAGATGCATATTTACTCGTGTTTATTACATTTACAGATGCTTTGATTTTTTTTTGGAACTACTCTGATGATTTTTCATCCTTTAAAATAAATGTTTTCATATGTTTTTTTTGTTTGTTAACCATTAGATTTCCTATTATGACATACCTGGCCCAGCAAACAGGACACTAGAGCGTCGCTTAGCTATCAATTCCACTGAGGATGTAGTTGTTTGCTGGTGGCCGCTGGTCAGCGATGGCGCTTGGCCTTGGACTCCAATCTCTTCTGAGAAGGACAGAGCGAATCTCCTGCTCCTGGGTTTTAGTCAAGGAGGACTGCAGGTAAACTGAAAACAAATGCATCCATTTTAATGAAGTGCAAATAAAATAGTATTACTGGTTTTCCTATTCTGAAATATGTGTGAATACATTTTAAGCCTATAATTTATATTTCCAAATATTCAAAAGGAAATTGAATATAAAATGAGATCCTAAAATGTAACGTAGCTCGAGCATAAGTAGACAGTCCCAGACTGGCTGAGACAGTGCAGTGATGGGGAGCACAGGCTTCTGGGTTCACACGCTGCTTCTGCCACTGCTCTTGTCATTACTGCCAGTCCTGCTTGTTGGTGAGGGTTTCGTACCTGGAAAAGCCATGCTACCAGCTACCTTAGCAAACACCTGTCCAAGGCCCGTTCTGTGTAAGTCCCAGTGATGGCACATCACCAGTGGGGCAAGGGGCCTCCAGCACAGCATCCTCTCCCAGGGCCTGGCTGCTGAGGGGAGCCCGGAAAGCACAGCACCTGTGCTCACATCGGCACCCCCCCTGCTGTCTGTCCCCAGCAGGGCTGTGCTCACTTCCTTAGCACATGGATGGACCTGTGTGTGCTTTTAGTTTATACCTGTGTAAAAAGGTTTTCTTTTTTATAATTAAAAAGAGTTCTCTCCTTTTTAGTTTTAGTTTTTACGGTGGAGCAAGCCTACGCCAGTGTTTTCCTCTAAGCCCTCAGACTTTAAGAAGTATTTCTCAGCGAGTGTGCTGGGAAGCGGTGAGTGGGTCTGCGCTCTCTTTCCCACCAACATAAACTTGCAGTCTTTTGAGTTTGGTTTATTTTGGAGACTGGGCTTTGTTACATAGCCTAAAACTCCTCATCCTCCTGCCTCAGCCTCTTGGTTGTTGAGTTTGAAGGCATGTGCTATCATGTCCAGCTTTAGGCTGCCTTTGAATAGTGAAGGGTCCTAGTCCTTTATTTCTGATATGTATGTGTTCTTTAAGAACTGGACTTTCCCAGTTCTGCAGTAAACGTTCCCAGTTCTGTGTTCTGGTTTGGGTAGATCACCTAGTCTAACTGGCCTTAGTTTTCTTGTTTAAGGTAGTAAATTTAAGCCTGATAAGTACTCCCCGGACCCCTGGGGGCTGTATAGTGTGCAGCTATGGGACCTCCCCGGACCCCTGGGGGCTGTATAGTGTGCAGCTATGGGAACTCCCCGGACTCCTGGGGGCTGTGTAGTGTGCAGCTATGGGAACTGAAGCACAGATCTGCTTTGGTCACTTCACTTAAGTCTTCAGTATGTGCTGAACCCAAGCTCAGCCTGACCCCAAATGATCTTGACCTACCTTCCCAGCGTTATTTTCTTCTATAAATCTAGCCCTGGCTGAATTTACTCACCGACTCTTTATTTCCCATTTCCTGTATTAATGGTGTTTCTGCCTGAAGCAGCCAGCAGCTTTGAGCATGACCTTGCTGAGCACTGTGTTTCGTCCCAGATGGTAGGAATAAAAGACTATTTTGCCTTCAAGGACCTTGGTTTTGTTTTGTTTTTTTAACCTGTGAGAGACAATTATGAAAACGCTGAGGTACATGGGAGTGTCAGTTTGCTGTAGATGCAGTGAGTGTGAGCTGTAGTGGGAGCCAACGCGGAGTGGTTGATTCCACTCAGATAGTGAGATGATTACAAAAAGGCTTTACAGTGTGCTCAAAGACAAGGTGGGCGCCCAATTCCACTTGCTTTTATTATCTATTCTAGATTTAACTTCAAGCCTTTATTAACACTGGAGTGACTTTGCTAGCCTTTTCTCCCCTCTGAAACAGTATCAAAGGAAATTACATAAGCTAGATTTTGATAAGGATATTATTCTGTCTTTAAAGAGTTGTTTAAGTCTCTTTGGGGGGGGAATTCTGTTTTGTTGAGTTGTTTCCATAGTTTTTATGAAAGTGTCTACTTTATGGAAACATCTGATCCATTTTTTATGAATGTATATATGGCATGTGAGTATCACTTTTGTGTTACCCGGGATTAATCCCAGAGCCTCTGTCATAGATAAGCAAACGCTCTCCTGCATCCCAAGTCCACTCTCTTTCACTTCTGATATTCTGTTGAATGCAATTCATTTTCTTGGCAAGGCTTTTGTTTGAGCTTTTTTCCCTTTCAGTTGTGCTATCAAAGTTCAACTGTTCAAAAATATTTATATTTGTTCCCAGGAACTTTGTGGATTTTCCTATGTAAAAGGTAAATCAATGTTTTTAGGAGGAAATATTTGGCTTACTTTTTCGTGTGAAGACTTAATCTTTAACAGAAACATTTTAGCATGTCATAAGCTAAAGCCACCAGTGGCGGAAAGTAGTTTCCTTTTCTCTAGCAACAACAGTCTTTTTAAACAGATCATCAGAATCGTAAGTCAATATGCTTTTAAGCACTGAAAATATAACCAAAAGGGGAAATCTTCATAAAGAAGAAATTGAATAATCTTTGAATCTGTTAAACTTTAGAATTATAAAAACATTCCCATCTAGGCTCCCCCAGATAATAAGCTTTTATCTGGACAGTGTCAGAATCCTAGAGCAGTGTTCCTAGCCGGGTAATGCATCGCAGTTGCCTGCAGAGCTTCTGAGGCTGGACTGCCACACTCCTTCCATCAGAATCTCCGGTCAGGAGGGGGCATCAGTAATCTGCTTCAGGTTCCCTAGGTGATCTCATGTTCATCCAAGATGAGACCCACTGCTTTACAGCAAACTTAAAAAACAAAAACAAAAAACCCTGAAGCCATCTTTTTTACATAACAGACCATGGGAAGGATAAAGCCCACATACTGAAGCAAATGAGAGTTTTAACAGTAGAGACTAAGTAGAAAATTGGCTTACCAAGCTGCTAAAAAAGAAATAAGAAAAGAAAGCAAAGGAAACAGAAATCAACTCTCTGTGACCAAATTATCTGTCTTTCTGAGGGAAAACATTTTAAAATTTATTTGATAGATATTTGAAAATACCTGGCCCAATTTCATACCACGGAGCTCTAAACAAATAGTGTGCATCGTAAGTAGAAGCGTGGAGCAATAAGTTCTGTAGTCTAAGGAAAATGGGTGCTAATAGTATAGAAAAAGGAACTTTTATCGGTAAATTCATTAGGACCCTGTTTAGGGACTTGGGAGACGACTCAGTTGCTGTTCAGCATAGGGACCCAAGCTTGATCCACAGGGTCAGGTAAAAGCCAGACGGGGTGTGAGTGCTGGGGTTGGAGACAGCAGCCCCAAGGCTCTCGGACTGGCCAGCCCAGCCTCTGGCAAGCACCATTGCTGGTTAGAGGCCCCATCAAAAGAGCAAGGTGGATGCATCCTGAGGAACCACACACAGCACAGACTTCCCACCTTCCCAGACACACCCACACATAGACACCTGTGCATATACATGAACCTGCACATACATATGTAAATTATTTTAGCAGTTTATATGTAGGTTATCATGTATTACATGGTGACATCTCCATTTAAATTCTTTACTCCTTCTACTTTATTTTAAAAAGGTTTTTACCATTTTGGTCTGCTGTATACATTCGCTTTGACGAGCACCTCTTGACAACTTATTCTTCCCTTTTATATTTGCACAGCCGTCTTAGCTTTTTAGCTGCGTGACTTTGAGACTTCTTTCTGCCTGTGGTGCTACCATCACGGTCTGTTGAGAGACAAACTGAGCATGGCCCCCATAGTCACAGCAGTCACAGAACGTGTCAGACCTGGTAGATAAACCTCACAGATCCATGCTTTTCCTACGAGAGAGGTTCTGTTGTTTGTGTTTGTTTCTTGCTGTTTGTTTGAAACAAGGACTCATGTGGCTCAGGCTATTCTTGAGCTTCTGATTGCCTTGCCTCTGCCTTTGATGCTGGGTCACAGGTGTGCACCGCCACTGAATGAAGCATTATTTTTGTGGCGAGTCTTAAAGAGCAGTAACTGATGGGAAAGTGTGTGTGTGTCCCACTATTAATATAGTACAATTTGGCAAAGGAATCCGAAAAATTTATAGATATTTTCAACTGAAAAGCCAAAATATTCATAAATACCATTGATAATAAGTACTTCTGTGTTAGCTTTTAGCTAAATGAGTCATATATTCTGTTTCAGAGAATGCAATGTTTGTATTCTTTTTAGTACTGGCTTAGTATATATTTATTACAAAATATAATGCATATGAAGCAAGCCACATAAAGTAAATGCATAGATTAATGTGCCTTTATGAGCAAAGCACCCTTTGATTCAGTGGCCCGCTGGAGACCTAGAACTGTGCAGCGCGGAGAAGCACCTCTCTGTGCTGTCCCAGTCTTGACTGCTGCTTCGTTCCCCTCTGTCACCATTGCCGTGAATGGTGAATGTCACACTTCTTGTTTGCTTACACAAGTTTTACCACCTCTGTGGACATTCTCAGAAAGCAGCATAATATCCATTGAAAGCATTTCAGTGTGTGTCTTAGTCTACAAGTCCCCATCAGCCCCATTCTTTCCTTAAAATGTATCTGTTGCAGCTGCAGCGTCTGTGGACTGGACTTGTTTGTGTCTGCATGGCAACCTTTAACATGTTTTTGTGTCTTCTGTTGTTCTGCAGGTCAGTAGCAGAACTGCAGTCTGGGGAGACTCCCAGGAGTAGTTGGCCTTTTATCAGTGGCTCATCATTCAGGTTCATTTGGTTTCTGGTTTTTGGTAATAGCAACTATTGATGCTCAGTTTCAAGGTGCATCCATTCATTAATGTTCCAAAATGGTCATTTTCTAATTAAATTATTTTCACTTATTATTTGGACTTTTATAAAATGGCATGTCTGTCAGCTTTATATAATAAGCTGAATTAAAATGTCTCTTAACATTTGTCAAAATAATAACCTAATCTATAATAAAGGTGGTTGATTTTAATTTTAAAAATAGCATTATTAACACATATATTCAAATGTTCTATTTGATATATTAATAAATTGTAACTGTATACTTTAGAAGCTTAGATTACCCAATTTTTGGCCAGTAAAACTTCTTCAGATTGCTCTCTCTTGTTGTGATCTCAGCAATCTTGGTAGATTACCA